ATTATTCTCTATAACTATCTTAAGACTAGTTCTCTGCAAACACTCTTATATATTAGTAATAGTATGCTCTTTGCGAAGGACATATTTTGAAATCCCTCAAAGATCGGAGAGACTGTAAATATTTACAGTGGTGACAACGAGATGTACATTAATGAAAATGTATGCATGATTTTCCATAGTATATCAGAAAAATACAACCTTAACGACAATACATTTTATAGTAAAAATGTAAGAATGGGCAAGTTAACGAAATTTTCTTTTTCTTAGGAAACGCTCAGATCAGATTCGTCCACGTATTAGAAGGGATGTGATCCGTAGACCCTGTAGAAGGGCGATCAAAATTTAAATCATTTGCATGTACGCCAACAGTGTTGATTTTGGAAGACTTTTTGAAATTGAAAAATCTTGAATAACTTTAAAACCATTGATGCTGGGTATAGGAAAATTTATCAAACGACGTAGATTTTCATGTAGATTTCGAAAACGCAATAGCAATAGGTATAGGATGTTTTATTTAAAATAAGAAAGTTGCTATCCACATCCGGTAAAACTGGATGTGAAACAATTATATTTTCTTTCGACAGATCATGAAAAACTGTTATTTAAATTATTGATGGAAGTCTAAATGCTTTTAGGTAAGGTTTGCGTGAAATAGTCTGTACCTATTTCATTAAAATATCTTAGCAAAAAAAAAAATGAATTCCCCGACGGTGAAGAACCAAAAAGCCCTTAACTTTATGCCCGAATTTTAAATTTTGAATTATTAGATAACGATCAATCAAAAAGCACCTGGATCTAACTAAACAATATTAACAAAAGACCAACAAACGGTAACAATAACTACATTATGAAAATGATTAGGTGGTTAATCAATTAATTAGAGTTATATCAGTTAGATCGAGGGTAGTTCAGTAATGGTATTTTAGCACGTATGCGCTTTCTTTATAGGGTCTATAGATCGTTTCGTTTGTGTGCGTATCATGCATTAATACCTAACTCAGTTTATATTATAAGCTTTTCACGTACTAAAGTGATATTCTTTCAATTCCCTAGTTTTTGCAAAGTCTTTAAAACGTCATTTCTGTGACTGGAATAAATAAACGCTTAGAGAAGTGCCATCTCATCATTTCTGCGTGTTTAAAAATGTGCGGCATAAACGGGGAAAAAACCCGAATAAAACAGATTCTCTCGACCTATTTAATTTATTATAGGAAATAAAATAAGACATTAAAGTTATAAAAGTAGATAAACACAAATCGCATCATGCGGTTCATGTATTTCCATAGAAATAAATTGCACATGAAATCATCAACGCCTGAAAACTTTAAGAAGAAAGTCTGCAAATTTCCCTTTACTCTGTTTTTGTGTCCGTTTTATGATACTTTTAATATTTTTAGCATCACTTGTACCTTGAGTAACGATTGACATACACTTTGTCGTATATTTTCGCAAACAGTAACTCCGCTAATTTTCTAAATTCTAAATTCGTGAATCAAAGTGGAACAGTTTAATAAACCTCGTGTTGCTTTCAATAATGAAAAAATGTAAGTAAACAAGTTCAACAAAAAGAATTAATTCGAAAACTTTTCTATTGATTATTCCTGACCACTTGTAATTATCGAAGCTTGAAATTGCTTCTGTACTAGTTTCTATGAGTTTTCTGATTTGATTGAATTGCTTGCAATCTAATTTTCAAACGTGAAAACTTTAAAACTCAATTATGTCGAACTGAGTACGAACCTACAATTTATTATTGAAAGATGTTTTATTATAGGTACAAGTGGTATTATAGGAAGGAAGTAAATAGGATAATCGCCACTGTAATTCCAGCCTCAAAATCACTTTCGGGCCAATTCTGTCTATGTTTTGAATCCCTAAACAATATGCGTATTACGCTGTAACAAAATTGAATCTTACGACCGGAGTCGAAAAAAATACAATCTCGAACAAACTGCTTTCAATAAAATATGTAGAGATTTTGGGATTCCCTTTTTTTATAAAATACATATTTTATTTGGTTATCAATTTTATTGTCGAAAATTGAATTGCATTTTATGACTCTTTTATGCTTTATACAAGGAGTAATCGATTTGATGCAGGTAACGAATACGTTTTTATGTTACACTTTCACGATGAAAATTTTCAAATCGGAAAGGGTACCTAAATGATGTAGAAAAACAGTATTGCTTTTTATGGGGTTTACTTTAAATGTATATCATGTATATTGACACAATCACTCATAGCACAATTTTGTTTGGAAGAACTATCCATTGAAAAAGTATGAGCATTTCAAAATACATAGTTAGGCGCATTGGCTTGTGCTTCATTAGTTTAGTTTTGTGCCATTTAATGTTTGTTGTCAGGCACGCTCCTCCTTGTATCTCTTTAGGTGGGGTCCCACTACATTAATTTAAATAGCACGATAGGTCGTGTCTCGTGTATAATACACCATCTAACTACTGATTCATCAAGTAGCTTGATGATTGTCAACACGATTTGATTAGAAAATCAAATACTTTAAAATCTGAATAATTTACGAAAACGTACTTGATATCAACTTCAATGTTTCTTGTTACATGTAGTATAGTAGTGCTACTATACATGACGCTTCAAATTCGAGGGCTACCATGCGGTTCTCGGGAACTGTAAGAGATAGTAGGTAGGTAGTTTCAATTTGGCAAAGTTGCGTACTTTGATGCTTAACAACTTGCAGTACGAACGCCGCCTGAAGAAGTGGTTGGGTCGGTAGAGCAGCTTTGTCTGAAATGCGGAATAACGCAGTTTCTGAATGGGCAAGTATCTACAAATGTAATGTGGTATCATTTTTTCGATAAACAATTTCAAAAATCTTTATGTTGCCAATAAGAAATGTACAGCAACAAAATCTGTAATAGTATCCATTTTAGTTGTAATATTTGTTGCAATGCACTCTGTGCTGCAGAACTGAAAATATGTATAAATTTACTTGTTGGAAGTTTGTGATTTAGCGTTTTTCCAACCAAATTGAGTTCATTAAAATGTTTGTTTTGTGTTGTTTTGTTTTGCTTTGCTTTGCTTTGCTTTGCTTTGCTTTGCTTTGCTTTGCTTTGCTTTGCTTTGCTTTGCTTTGCTTTGCTTTGCTTTGCTTTGCTTTGCTTTGCTTTTGCTTTGCTTTGCTGTACTTTATTTTATACTTTAAGTGTATTTGAACCATAGCCCCGATGGTAACCACATTAATTACCAGAGTATGCTACTTTTAAGGGCAAATAATATACCTATGATGGCTAGACTTCTGAAACGGCTTAGGTTTACGTAAATAACTGGTAAACGGTGGCCCACAGCAGAAAATGTTTACATAAAATTCTATACTACTTTTTCTCTGGCATCAATGTTTAATGATGAGGAAGAAGATTAATAATAAAATTAAATAAACACCATCCTCAAGCTTACAAGTAGTTTTCAACAAAGGAGTACTCACAACACACGTACACCTGAGGCTGGAGTTTGGTGGGATATCGTCATAGAGCAAACTTTCCTGCGCTCCATGATGGGTTCAGATGACCAGACACGAGGGAGAGGAATTCTGTACTCGCTAAATGGGTATGCGGATCATCAGTAAGCACCGCTATCTGCACCTCATTACAAGAGTTCGCAGAAGTGGTGGCAACAGGGATCGAACTAAGATTCGAGAATGGTTCAATGACCATGCCGCATTTCCAAAGTTGAATTCGCCCATGTCGCTGTTAACGCTGTCCTGGGAAGTTTCAAAGTAAACTGCCGCAAAGCTCTAGATGTTGGAATAAAAACGATGCAGAGTTTCATTTGCAGCAAATTCGGTGACGTGAAGCTTTCTAAGAAGAATGTGATCGCTAGCCAATAGCCAGTGTGAGCAGTAGCATTAAAATCAATGGCATTCTAAAGTCGATTACAGCCAACGACCCAGGGGCACCTGATTCATGTACATACATAGGTACATACCATTGTTAAAAAAATTGTAATGTACCTAGTACCTACCTAGGTACGTTTTTCTTATTATCCATCTTCTTCCCCGCTCTTCATAAATATTCCTTCCAGCGAAAAAGTGTATAGAATATTTTATGTAGATTATTTAAGTATTTGGAAGAAAGGAATTGTGACCAGACTTTATCCAGGCAAGGATGGCGATCGGAGGGTACTCTCAAACGGCGCAAAGATCGCTTAGACGAGACACATCTACTAGCAATGTAAAAGCTTAATTGTGAATATCTCGAAAATGCTGTAGGAATAGGAGGGTACCTACAAAGAAAAAATGCAATATTTCGAAGAATTTCTCTAAAGCCTAAAAGTTTGTGACATTTTTTTTATTGCTAACTGAAAATATCAAGAAAATTAATTTAATATTATAAACATGTCAATTAATATTTGTAAATTATTTTGTCACCAATTGATAAATATTTTAGAAAATCATCAAAATGCTGCACACACAAGTTGGGAAACTTAAAGGTTATACAAGTTTTGATAACAAAACTGTTTATTAGTTATTAGATAAATAAGGCATTATATTTTTGTGGAAAGAAGTAAATTTAATGTTTCCCAATTTCATTGAGTAAGTGGCAGCCTCAACTGAGGTCTTAAATATCACTAATTTATAAAATACTGAAAGTTAAAAATAGTAAAAAGTCTACTGCAACTTTATTAGGGCATTGTGCTTTTGAAGCCTACAAGTTTAGCTGCGAGTTATCTAAATATGCTAATCTGAATATGCTCCCATAGACACGAAGCGAAACGCTTGTATCAGAAAATATAAAAGATTGCAATTATAACGTCATATAATTAATGCATTTGATGTAACTGCCCACGTGTACATTTTCTTCTCAAAAATTCACACGCACGTGATTCAACGCTCAAAATAAACTGCGCTATTCTATTTTATTAGTAAACAAACTTCAATTCCTTACATATCGAAAGAATAATTCCGAGTACAGGACAATGATGTAAATTGCATCAAATTTTATAAGTTGCGGTGTCTGTAACCTCGACAACTGGCGCCTTAGCCAGCGATTCATTGAAACAGTAGCACTTCTCTTTGTAGAACATAAACTTGAGTAAAATTTACTATACATACTTATAAATAATTACTAACGTAATTTCTGCTCGGTAAACGTTAAAAGGATTTTCTTGGGTATCATTTATTTAACTTTGTAAGCAGTCGATGTATTTGGTTTGATGTAACGCAACGTTTTCGTTTACGTTAAATATCGGATTGTGTAAATATTTATGACTAAAGGAAAAGTGACAGTTTAGTATTAAAACGGGCGGCGGCGTCCCTTTCAATGGAATGCTAAATAAAAAGAGTCATTGTTAACTATGGCCCGCGAAACGAGACTAATTAAAAATAAAGTAGTACAAGTGATTTTAATTTTAAGTTCAATAGCGGTTGTTGGTGGCGCCACTGGCTCTGCAAAGCTCGCAGAAGAGCTTTTGACTGTGCAAGATGGGTATTACACGGATTCCCTTAACGAGGTTGCTTTAAGTGCTGGGTATGTTCTTTTTGATGTGGATTTTTTCCGTGATTTTATATTTTTCCTCTTTACTTTCCATATAGCAGCATCATAAGGATAATAAATCAAATTTCATCTACTCTGTTTGGCGTAAATTAAAGTGCACGCTATGCATAGGAGCAAGCAAAAAGGTCTATAAGTGCTGTGTCTCAATAAAAAAAAAGTATCCGAAGAAATTTTCCAGAACAAAAAATACTAATGAAATGGGAGATTTAATTTTATGGGATACATTGAAGCTCATTTCTAAAAATTAATTCTAGTGCATATACACTTCTTGGTAATTGAGAGTAAAAAAGAAATAAGATAAAAATTTTAATTACGAACTAGGAGTGAGACGAATGTTTAAAAATATAGTCAAGGCTTATACCAGGAAAAACGTTTAAGAATGTTAACTGTTCTAATTTAAAACTTAATACCATTTGCTCTTAAAACTGAAATACACTTCACCACCGAATCTTACAAGTTACATAACTGTTTAAATAGATTGCTAAATTTAATATTTTACTGCCTATACGCAGTACGTTACCACAACCGTTTTAAACAAGCACAATGTTAAATTGTGGTATTCTGGTATTTATAGTAGGGCAAACTACACGGTTGGAAGGGGTTTTAAAATAAAACACGTATATAGGACATTCTCAACATTTAAAAAGGCTCTTGTTGCATGTATCGCTAGACTATTTTATCTGAAACCGTAACAGTATTCGGTTTCTATTTCGCTGAAAATGGTTCAAATTATCTTTGCATTGCAAATAGAACTGTAGCTCGATGTGAATATTCTCCTAATATGCAACGTCGCGTCATTTGGGAGGGTTTCACATGTTTAAGACCAAAGGGGCCGCAACTCAAGGATACCATATCACGTAACAAAGAAGCAAATAAAACCTTCAGTACGTGTATTTCAATAATGGCCGGCGGGTTTATCCTGAAGATTAATCTCACTAAGATGACGCGGTCCAGCGGTTGTGTCTGGCGACCCATTACCTATATAACTGACCAAGAAGGGATTTGCATTTGTATGGTTTTAGAGACCACAGCAACAGAAAGATTTCTAAGAAAACCTCTAAAAGATCTCTAGAAATTTTATTTCCCAAAATTTCCTAGTACTTTTACCGTCTTTGAAAATTTTTGTGAAATACCTCCACACAACACTTGAAGCCATTTTTAACGAATATTCTCTGACGAGGAATACTGCACAACTGAGCAGCAGAAGGAAGACGTGTGTTAATTAAAAATGTATGGCCAAAGGCAAAAGGGGCCCCACTCCCAGGCTCCCAGTCGTGAAATAATAATCATAGAAAATTTTGGACGGTGTGTCATAATTTTTCGAAACTTAAACGAAATTGATATATTTTAGGAAGATCTTGAAGGAGTGTTTACAGCATTTTTTCTCACATTTTTTATGAATTAAAAAAATATATTCCATTGTTTGCGTTTTATCCTCGGTTTTATCCGTCCGTCCGAACCCACTTATGCTGCGTTTGAATTAACAGGAATTGGAATTAGGTCAGATGCAGTAAATAAAACAGTAGATAAACCTATTGTAGCGGATATTCCAGAAATCCCAATAGACATCGAGGCGCCATGAAAGATTAGTCACCGGCGATAAAGAGCGAAGGCGGATGTAACGGAATCTTTTTCCAGAAATATGACATGTTTGTTCGAGAAAATTCGGAAGCGTCCTTGGGCACTCAATAACATTCTAGAATGAATATTGTTTGCTATATCAGCAAATCGAATTGTGTTTCGAGTTTAGTTCCAACTTTGATGCTTGTTTTATGTTTATGTTATGCAAGTGATCAATAATAATTACCGTTCCAAATGAATCCATTTTAAGACTAAAAAATTTATTGTAAATTAGTTGTAAATAAATAAAACTACGCAATTTACATTTAATTACATGATTTTATTTATTTAAAACAAATTACCAATAAATTATGTTAGACCTCGAGTTACACTGGTGTCAGGTGTGGGGTTGTGTTTAAGTGGACAATTAGTGAAAGTTTATGTCAGTCGGAAATGGTGGAGCAACTTCTGCAATTAATGCAAGAAATAAATGCCAGTCAATCTGAAATCAAACCCGCATTCCAAGCTGGTCAACAATCAATAGACGATAACATCGAAGCAATAGAATCAGGTGAACAAGATATAAAAGGTATGATTCAGTATGAGATACAAAGCGTTCAACATGAAATATACAGGGTGTAGAAAATGAAATTGGCGAACTACAAAAGCGATTTATGGAATCGACTGAAGAACACAAAAAAAAGTGATGTGTCATCTGTGATAACATAAGATCTACTTGCTGTTCCCCAGTCGTCTGGCAAGGAAGCCGCCGAAACATGTAAACATATTACGACAATCGGTGGAAAATCACCGTGGTCCACCTACTTGAGACAGTTGAGCCCGCCGCAGATACAAGTAAGTGGACAGTGGAAAAAAAGACAACTTTCGTGATAGTTGCGTTACGTGGAGATCCGTTGGATGTTTTGCGTACCGGCAAAAGGATTTTGGGCAAATGGTATCATGGTTGGAAACTCCATATGACTCGAGCTGGCGGTCGATATTGGTATTTGGTTCAAGAAAGGTACGCAACACGTGTTGCCAGCAGACATAGTCGATAAGGTGATTTTAGGAATGGACTTGATGATTCGGGTTTACGACCGAGCTGAAGACGAGCTGAAGAATGGAGTGTTTCAAGCGGATCACGATTAAGTTTCGATTCACAGAGAACAAGATGGGCTGCTACGTGTTACGCTTGTGTATGATGTCACCCTGCGGAGTGTTGCGTGAAAGTTATAATGGCTCGCATGGATGGAAGTGTCCTGGACAACTGCCTGATGGGAGTGAGTACCAAATCAAGAAGCAACAATCGTGGTAGACGTTTTGGTAAAAGAACTTTTACCAAATTTTGAGTACCCCTGGAATTCACTCTTCCAGAGACGAAATTTCGAGTTGGCGCTATTCCAAAGCTTTTGTCAGCTATTAAACATTCGCAAAACGAGAACTACTGCTTTGCACCTACAGTCAGACGGAATGGTAGAACGTATGAATAAGACAATAGGAGGGGGGGGGGGCGAGATTGATATAAACGTATTGTTAATTAGTTGTAAATAAATAAAACCATGTAATTAAATTTACTACGTTACATTATATTTCTAAGATTTCGGAAAAAAATAGATAGTATACCAACTTGAATTATCTGAATACTAACATGAATAGTCAAAAACAAGTACAACATAAATGTGGAGAAAAACGAGATACAAATGTAAATCTAACTAAATATTCACAAAGAATTTAAAATTAAACTTTCAGAGTGTATATACTAGGTACTTTAATTTGTCCACATCTAAACTTATTTACTGTATTATACTGTATTATTTTTTTCATGAAAGCAACCGTTTTCTAAAGATAAGTGTTTAGTTAAATTCGTTAAATCTTTCGTTTCTAAAAATGGTGGTTAATAATTCATTATTAGTTTCGAAATAGATTTTTCTAAATTATCCTAATAAAGTCTAATACTTATGGTAGTTTTCAAACGGATTCTAAAAATTGTAGGAATAGGAATATCGACTTTTATGGAAACTCCTCAGAAAATTTTCAAGGTCTTGAACATTTTCGAAGGAGATTTCTATGGTACTAACAGGGGTTCCAAAATTTTCAAGACAATGCGAAAGAGATATTTTATAAAAGTTCCAGGAGGAATTTTTCGGACAATTTTGAAGATTCTTGAATATTTTCCCAAGAGCATTTTTTCCGTGAAACATTTTTATGATGATTTCGTAAGAAATCTAAAATTATGCCTTTTTAAGTGTAATTTTTATTTACGGATGTTTATTTTGTGGTAAATAAACAATAATGTTCATAGGTTAACAAACCTGTCTAACTTGCATTTATTACTTACACTTACACAATCAAACGGAAATGTATTTTTCTGCAATTGTTAAAATATTATATTGATTAGTATGAAGAAGATTGTCAGAAGGTAACGACCAAGACTAAGCTGCGTAAGCGGCTATTATTCAACTTTAAATAAATTTACTTTAGGTGATGTGACTTTTATTGTTGGGTATCTCCGAGGGTATCTCCCAACATCACAATTTGTTTAATTGGTGTTTCTTGCCATTAATTTTACCATGATTTGAGTAAAAAAATTATATAATTAAAAAATATCTGCCAAATTAACTTTCAACAGATTCTTCCACACTTTTCTTTTCGTTTTCAACATTTGTGAAACATTTCCAAGATTCCCTTACGAAACACCGTTAAGTAATTAGTAGCACCTATCATAAGTCTGTAAAAAAAATCAGCTTCATTCGTCCAACCGTAACCTATAGTTATATCCGTAGAAAGTTCGTGAAAAACCGACTAAGAATTGTTTCTTTACGGAGTTATCAAATATTCGCGATTTTTTTAAATATTTTTTTAAGAGCTATTATCAACGTTTTCATTTGGTGTATAACTTATTTTCTCGAAAAACAACCTTTCAGAATTGGTACCGCAAGAAGTACCCGCAGCGCCTTAAGTCATATGACCTGAGGCGGCAGACGATCGATTTTAGCATACTCTGATAGGGCAAAATGGAACTCCATCGGTTAAAATTTTGATCATTCTCGTTCAGTGGATTTCGTGCTAGCTTCCCTACTACAAAATCTTATCCAATTTAATTTTCTTCATGTCCTGGTGTCACAATAAGCACGAAATAGTAGCTTGTGTAATCTTAAATACAAGTGACGTGGTACTAGACTTAAAGCTAAATAATAAAATTCTGATGTGTAATTTTTATATGATTGGGCAATATACCAACTATTTTTTTCTTTTTAGATCTGATACACTGGAATGTCCATCAAGTAATGTCATATCTACAAAGTACAAGTGTAACGTAAAAGGAGAATGGGTGGATTGCACTAGGCAAAACTGTTGCAACGACTACATATTTATAGCGGGAAGGTGAGGCGCAATCACTTCTATACTTAAAACTTAACCTATTATATTACTAACATTCTGACTGATGCACACCCATCAGTAGGTACCAGGAACTCAATTCTCCTGTACTTACTATGTTTTAACTAATCATCGAGCTAATCTCAGAGCTGGCTGATAAAGGTTATTAAGGCACTAACAATGTGGATGTACCGGATAGTGCTTCCCATAGAGTATCAAGCCATCACTACCCAATGGGACATCTATTTTTTTTATCTATTTTTTTGTCTATTAGAATATAAGTCTTCCCGAAAATTTTGCTACCCCGCGCACCTCTGTACGATGAAAAAAAAAATAGATTTTTCAGCCCTTTGAAAAAGAGGTGGTTTTTTTTAGAAATCGTGAGATCTTGGAAATGGTTAAACTTTACGGGCCCAAAAAATTATCTTCTTTTTTACCATAAAACAAGCTATGTTTCCTCCAAATTTCTAACACCTACGACTTTTTTTTTTCGCAAAAATGAGAATAAAAAACGAAAAAAACAGTTTTTCTGGTTTTTCTAGAAAAATTGGAGGTTATCTGAAAATAGTGCAGATACAAAAGTTGCTCATTTTTTTAATCTCTATAACTTTTACATTGAACATTTTCGTCGAAAATTAATAGTTTTGCCACAATTTGCAAAACACCACTTTCCACCCCTTTCAACCCCCGTGATTTCACCCGCGGAAAAATTCAGCCGTTTTAATTATTTTTTCCCAATTTCTATTCATTTCACCTGCCTGAAAAATCCGGTTTTTTCCGGTAACTAATTTTTTTTGTAAAAAAATATATAGCCTGGACTAAGGATGTTTACGTTCGGATTAAAAAGCTATTTCACGTAATAAACTACGTGCATACAGCATTTTTTGTTTCATGTAGCGTTTTCCTAACCGTGTCTTTAATATCGATTTGCCGAATTTTTCACTGGTATGAAACCAAATTTAGAGCACCAGCGTCAATAAACGTGCAACAGTGGTAGAGGGCGATAAACTGAAATGCTATACCTACAAAGCAATTTATAGAAAATACGCATTGATATGTGAGATTCCTGAAAGGTGCAGGTGATGCGAAAAATTTAAGTCGGTGAAGCAAACACAAGGCGACTAACATCATCTCACGAGGGGTGCATAATAATATTTGGTTACTAGACGATCATTTATCAGATTCAAATAATGCTGTTTATGTATTTCCTCAGCCATAAATTGTTTCTTTTTACGTTAACGAACGGATCTAACTAATTTTAATTTTAAGTCGCTGGCTTTGCAGACATATCCCACGAGTAGACCTTTATACAAACTTTATAAATTTACGAAACATGTAAAACTTCGGGGACTTGGATTGGACTATTGTGTGGTCAATAACGTTTTATTCAAATTTCTTCCTGTTGTTTGGTCTGAATGTGCCCCCGATAACTGTCTTTGTTCAACCAAATCAATCGTAACAAAAAAATCCCCACCTCCCTAGAGCACCATAAAAACGACAATTTCCGAAATCCCATTGTTACTCAACAAACAGAAGCTCGACGCAGAAAGATAAAAACATATTGCATTAATGTCCCTTTGTAAAGCACGCTTCCTAATTTTCAATGAAAGAAAAGTCTATAGCCATATATGGTTGTGTTTTTTGTGTTTTTTTACATAACACAACTATCCAATAAGGCATCGATAAAACTTAAGTGCCGCTATTCAGAAAATAGAAAAGCTTGTTCAATATTCTCGAAATCGGATGATATCTTTATACTAAGTTTGATCTCGGTGGCTTTTATGACAAAAAAACTTTTTTTTTGTATAAATAAACAGAAACGGATTATTCGGGACATTCTCTCCCCATAATAGTATTACTGCAGATAGTGTTTAACATTTTCGCTAATAAGAAATAAATCTTTTGCCGCATATTCATTTTGTTTTTTAGTAATATTGGCAAGACAGACGATATTGTCAGTAATTTCATTGAGAAAATCGCCTTATATAGTATAAGTGTTACTACTTAACGAGGTGCAGTTAACTTGAAAATTTAATTTACAGGTGCGTTCATAAGGATCAAGATCCGTGTTCCATGAGTTTATGCGAGCAGAAGTGCACTGTTTACTTACAAAGGATAATTTGTTCTTGCTTCGATGGATATAAGTTTAATGCTAATAATCAAAAGCAGAGGATAACGCCCGCCTGCGAAGGTAAGTTGCGCTTATTATAAAGTTTTTAGCCGACACCATACAAGACTAATCTTCTCATTAATTACTTATGATGAGTGGGTTTGTATCGCTTATAAACTATTTATTGAAGATGACTTGGAGAAATAAATAAAAAATAGCATTTCGAGCACTACAACGCTTAAACCATTTAGACTCATTCTTTTCAGCGGTATTCAATTTATCTACTTGACCAGTACTCGTACTTTAGTGATATAAAAATAACATATGAACTCGTTCCGTTTCATTAATTAATGAGGGAATAATAAATTTGATATTTGAACTTTACTTTTTCTCTTCCTTCTATCCATGATACTCCTTTCTTCTCTAATAATTTATAACCTAGTCGTTTCATTTCTCCTTGGTCTTCCTGGGCGCCCGCAGGCGAGTGTGAAAGTACCGATGTAAACAACATCAATGATTATAGTTAACTAAAGCTTCCCCTACGACTTCCTACGTTCGATATTCACGGATATATGCCATATAAATGATAACGGAAACCCAGCGTACAGAATGTAAAAATGTATACTCATCGATACGCTACGACGCAAGTGACTTGGCGCATGTATCGACCGGTACGCTAAATATCAGAGTGCGACATCAACGAAAAAAGTTAAAAAAAAAACGACTTCATGCAGCAAGAATGAATTTTTCAAAACCACTGCGCAATAGGGTTCACATTTCAGTAAAATCTTTATTTAATAAACAATTCTGTTGGGAAACCACTATACACATTGTTGCTGTGATGTATAGCAACTAAATTTTTGTCACTTTTTGTGTAAATCTCTTTTTTACCTTTGTTTGAAAGAAAATATTTGTTTGTATTTTTCAAAAATTGAGCTTGAATTCGATATTTTCATATTCACAGATTGAAAAATACCAACTTGCGTCGAAATTAGAATTTTTTTCACCGCGGTCCTTAAAAAAAGATTAAACGTAAACACAAACTGTGATCTAACGCATTTTAACACAGATTTCTGTCCTGAAATTTAACTTAAAAAAAATTGGAGAGTTAGTCTTGTAAAAACGTAAAATTTTCTTCTATATAACAAAACTCTCACTCAAATAATAATCCTGTCACAGTAGTACTAATTTATTCCTATTTTTAGCTTAATATTAATTCTAACTTCTTTACTTCTTCGCTATTCACTTCTTTCAAATTTTTTCTTAATTTCCAGAATTTCTGTTGATACTTTTTTTTCATTCGCCCTATTGAAATGTTTTTTACCTCTACTCGATTTTCGTTAACCCATATGTGACATCAAATTTCCTATCTTCAATCATATTACAATTAATTTTGCTTTATTTTATTGCGTAAATTCATTTTCTTCTTCGTTTTCCACGTCGGTCTAAATCATTTCTTAAATCTCCCTTGTAACATTTTCCGAAATTTCATAACGTCTTTTCAAAATGAATATTTTAATTTCCTTCAGAATCCATTGCTTACCTTCAAATATTTCTTTTATTTCCATTCCAGTTACAATTGCTTTCAAACTAATTTTCTCATTTACTTGATTAATTTTTACTACCCCGCCTCCCGCCCTTGCACAACTCTCCCCCGCAGCAAAAGAACTGTCAACCGGATCCCCACGGTACAAACTCTTTATTAATATTTTCCTTATAAGTAATCCGATTGTCCATTTCCTTTCGAGGTTTCTTTCATTTCCTTCCTAACCCACTTCCTTTTATAAATATCATCATTGAATAAGTATCATCTTTTATGCTATCCAATTTCCTATTACTCTCAATCCTTATTTTATTTCCTCTAATCTATGCAGTCAAAACAAAAAAGTATCAACTAAAATTTTGTTGTGGTTTCTTAGTGTTTTTGTTTCAGTTTTTTTGGCTTCAATGCCTTCAATGCTTCGAGTGTTTTTAGAAACTCGAACTCTTGATTATTCGGTAATGTTATCTCATTTAGGTATAATTTTTGACCGCAATCTTCTTATATATTATTATTCTCTGCTTTCATTTTTCATACTGTATAGCGAGTATCCTTGCCATCGGAGCACCAGCAGGCGTCATCAAGTCAACACCGATGTGGAATGAAAGTGGATGCGGCGCATTCTTTCCTTGAAACATGATATGCCCTGTTTGAAAACATTCAGTGATTTTTTCTAATAAACTGTAGGCTATTTTATCGAAACCGACGATTTTAACCTGCATTTCATACTCAAAGGGTGATTTCGCTTCATTTCGATATTATAAATTCCATTCCTTTGCTACGAAATACAGAGTGAGAAATGAAACGGGAAATAATTTATTTTCCCCCTCCTTCGATCTTTCATTTTACTGCACATGGTTTGTTGTGCTTTTTATTTCGATTAGGAATTTCGAAGGTCTCAACAGTCTTGTCCACCCAATTTTCTCTTTACACATCCTTCCATTCTACTGCCACATTATTTTCTAAATAGCTATACCATGTTACATATCTTTCTAGCACGTGAATAAAATATCTGCCTTTCCAGAATACCTCAGAAGAAGAATCATATTTGCGTCAATTCATTTTTAGCTACCTACCTATAAGAGCTGTAAAGACTGAAAGCTATATTTGTTTTCAGATATAAACGAATGCTTGGATGGGAATGGTGACTGCGAACAAGATTGTATAAACGAGCTGGGAACTTACAGATGCGCCTGCAAAGAAGGCTTTAGATTGCGAGCAGATAATAGAACATGCGAAACGACAAATCCGTCTCCAGAAGGATTGGAACAGCCAGTTCACAGAGATAAATGCTATGCAAGCTGCGAAACCGTCGTTCGACTACACGACAAGCTGAAAACGCTGCAAGAGAAGGTATTCTTTCATAAAAGCACTTTAAACGTTCTAAGTAGATTATTTTTTTCCATACACCCTCTTCCGCTTTCATTTGCATTTGGGTAAGTCTTTAACTTTTCAATTTTATTTCGGTATCGTTGTAGCTTGTCGTTGATTCTGTTTTAAAACATAGGACACAGCTCAAATGGGAAATATAAATGTTTTTATTTGAAACACGTGTATTGTGCACCCGAATGCCTCTTGATTTAGTCCTTATTCCAGAAGTGTCAGGGTGTGTTTTACATATTTACCTTTCTCGGTCTTTTCGATATGAATATATGTAACGGGATATTTAAAGGGAACAAAAGACGTTCGAGTTTGTGTGAAATTTAGGTCATGTTTTCGGGCGTCTTCTTTTGTTCAAAATCATTTAACTATTTAACAATTTAAACTGCTAATCATTATCGTTAACAGCTTACGTATAATAGATCATCAGCATCACTATCCCAACGAAAATATACCGCATACCGCTATTAATACTTATAATAGTCTTCTGCTTTTGTCAACTTTGTTATCTATATAACTATTGTTATTAATACCTTTATTATTTCAGTTGTCGGCGTTGAGTACTGCTATACGATTATCGAGTTTTGCTTCTGGACCGCCGGGGCCCGCCGGCCCACCTGGTGCACCCGGACCAATAGGGCCAAGGGGATTTCCTGGTGAGAAATCTTTTGATATCATTGATCTTTTAAACCAAAATATTCAAATGTACCAAAACGATCATTTTCAGTAATCAATTTTTTGATTGAGTTTCAAATAGTGTATTATATACCAAGGGACTAAAGTGTGTGTTTTAATCCTGAGGGTGCAGATTATTGTTGATCGAAACTTAGTTGAGGGCAACAAACACCTGTATCAATGTCCCCACAGCCTAAATAATTTATACTATTCAAGTGTTCGCTCAAAATTTACAAGCGGCCCTGCATGCCTTTACAAGTGGAGCAGACTAGGATATTGCCTTGCCTTTGCGGACACTATATGGAAACTAATCCCTTAACTTTTTTAACCATTTCTCATACATCGCCACACGTTGTATTTAGGAAAATTAGCCTCGATAAATTCTCCTCTGCAATATTCGCCCCCTAGAAAACTGCTCAGGTAAATTCGCCTCCAAAAAATTTGCTCCGGAAAATTCGCCCTAGAAAATTATTTGTCGTGTACATAAATAACTCCTATGCCGTAACAACCTCAGGAATCCCAAATTCCGCCAATACGCCATTCGATTTAATAAAGAAAGTGGAACCATTTCATAGCGTAATAGCCTTTCTCATAAAAAAATTAACGGAAAGTGAAATTATGCGTGGTACCACAACAATATCTTGAATAGTGTATATTTTAAAAGGCAAGTACTCGATTTTCATTCTTAATTTAATTAAAAATGATTCGATGTTGATGAAATTTTTATCGGACCTTTTTGAGGCGATTTCCCGTCGATTCTCAGAATTTCGCCCCTGGGAAATTCTCCTGAGCGGCTGGGGAGCGTCGTCGTGGAGGTGCGCAGGTGCGGATAAAAATTCGCCGTATCTATACGGTTCGAGTAAAAAATGTTCAACAGCGAAGTACCTACCTATGAAAGGTAATTTCCCAAACATACTTAGGTAATTATCTATTTATCTTTATGTTTTGAGTCAATAAAACTCTTTTTTCTCCAACCACCTCAATAAGACGCTATTTTGTGACAGTGTTCGGTACGTAAAATTGGCGTTTTCCGGATCACCATAGCAACTGTACAAAAAGTGGATACTTTTGGTCCTAGTACCAAAAAGAAATTGACCTTGAAAGTTGACCAATTAAAAAATTACAATCACGGAGATATGTCGTTTTACATTGCAGGTTGTCAGATATTTCTATACATACAAATCAAATATTTTTGCATATTCAATGCAAATAATGCTGTTACCTATACGTATGTTGTACATGTATTGAATAGTTATTTGTATCACAAGTCCAGAAAATGGATGTTTGCGAGTGTGAGCAAAACATTTTTATGGACGTGTAATACACAAGATTTTTTGTGTCGAAGTAAAAAATTTGAGGGAACAACGTTCATTTTAAAATTTATATTTCTACCTCCTATAATAAGCCGTCATACTTGCATTCAAATTTCCAATATTTCGATGTTATGTTGGTAGCACAGACAGTTGGCAGTTGGTAGCACAAGCATGTCAATTCACAACCGATATTTACAAGAACGGCTCGCGACAGTAATCACTTGGCTGCTACGCACATGCGCAGAACGGTATTTCTTTATTCACATTTCTAAATTTAAATTTAAAGTTTTGTGCATTAATGGGAAGGTGTAATACGCATGTGCGTAGCAGCCAAGTGATTACTGTCGCGAGACGAACGGATATTTACGTCTTTATTCCACATTAATTGTGATTAAATGAATAAACAAAGCATTTACGTTAATTTAATTATTATTACAAATTTCTAAAACGCTTAGCCCAGTCTTAAGAAGTTCATAACATTTAAAAGAAGCTGCGCTAAAACTAATAAGTAGTAAGTTGATTTCAATGGGAAACATAACCTTGAAATTTATTTCAATTTCAGCTAGTGCTTACGGCTTAAGGTAAGTTCATAGCTCTCCGTTCATACGTTTCCGTTTGTCCGTTAGCCAATCAGAAGACAGCAAAATTTTAAATCGTACGTCGTCCGTTTACGACGGAAAAGTTGGTTGAAGTTGAACATTTACGTTTCCGTTGGTCCGTTTTTAACAAGAGTGATGAGGTTATGTTTGGTACGTTAACAGTGTTCGCCTATTCGTTCTTCACGATGATATTAAGATAGCAACGTGTTCTTATTTTCGTACCATTTTTTCATACTGAAAATCACGGAGGGTACAGTACAAAATAAAATTTAGGTTATGGTTATACGTTGCAAATGTACAATGTGGACGGATTGCTATGAACCTTAACAAAATGTACTATCCGTTTGACGGATCAACGCAACGGATGAACGGAGAGCTATGAACCCACCTTTACACCTATTTTGAGAATTGGGTTGCAATGTTTTCATTTGCAAATTGATTTATCATATTAATTCCATTACATATAAGAATGATAACAAGTTTGTTTGGATATCTACTTCTCGTTGGCTGTCGATTACGAGGAGAGCAGCAAGAGGGCCGATGATTGCTTCGTGCAAATCTACAATTTGGTGTATGCAGTGTCGTTTGATTATTATGGTCTTACTACACGGAAGTAACTGATGTTGGAAATTTTCATCATAGATATGAGCATAGATATCGACAAGAAGACCGTTTTCATATGCGTACACCTCCTTTTCGAAAACTGTCATCTTCAGAGAAATATACTTGCTTGTAGATATACTTGAAATCACGAATCTTTGTCCCTGCGTCATTGATTTGTGAATCAATTTCAGACATACGCTAAAACACTGTAATATCTGTCAAGTATGCGAAATCGATAAAAAACTTGTCTGAAATTGATTCACAAATCAATGACGCAGGGACAAAGATTCGTGATTTCAAGTATATATAATTTATGGAATAATGTATACAGTTTAATGTTAACAATGGCAGAAATAATAATAATTACAAAACATATAGTGTCGTTACTCTTCATCCGTTTAGTGTTGTGTTTTTTGACTGCGTTAATTTACATGCGAAACCATTTGTTGGCATTCCTGGCATCGAGTGTGGAAGTAGGTAAACTTCAATTTCCTATACTTTCAATTAGCTCTCTGTTTTTTGCCATAAACGGTAAGTTTACCATCGGTAAACATGTACAAGTGTCAAAGTCGAAGTGTCGAAAACTTGTAAGTGAAACTTACAATTCTTGATTAGGGTACTTACCTACCGCATTTACATATACGTATTACTATGTTACCTACCAAGCCATAAAGTGCTTAAAATGGACTTTGCACAAAAAATATGCCTATCATTCTTACAATTTAATTTAAATTTAGAACTGTCATTGCAAATTAAATCAGTTCCACCAACCAATTTTTAGTGATATTTTTGCCGGCCTAGGCCAGCAAATCATAACTTTCTGGACTAATTTGGCTACAGAAAACAAAGCTTTGAAGCAGGGAGACACAAATAGTATATTGAAAGACAAGTGTTACAATGCGACCTATTGTAATACGACTATCTTGTGGCACGAGTGGCGACGCGAAGCGTAGCCACGAGTGTCCGCAAGATAGGAGTATTACAATAAAGCATTGTAACACGCGTTTTTCATACTATTTTTTCTATTTCGGTGCTTTAATTTAATTAAAAAAATCATTATCAGAAACTAGAGGGAACATTAAAACTAACATGTTTTATGTTGGGAACACTTTTTATGCCGTTAAGTTTTAGGTTGGCAGCGTAGTAACACTGACATTTTGAAGTTTAAACATGGGAAGTACCAGAGACATTCGAGAGGGGAGATAGCGCATGAAACTGCGCGAAGTTACAAAACAAGGGGGCTGCCATTTTGACACCCATTGAAGCGCGAAATTTGAACAGGACTATAAAGGTTTACTGACGCAACCCAGAGACATCTAACGCAATCGTCATAAACTACACTCTATTCGGCAGCAGCTCCGTAGGAAGAAACTAATATCTCAATCCAAATGAACAAAAGAAAATGCCGGTGACGTTGACGTTACAAAATAAACACTTAAACCTCGAAAAAAGCTCTCCTAAACACGAACACACGCTAAAATAACACCACTATAAACACAACATGACACAAAGGGGGTAAAAATGGCAGCGCCCATGAGGTCGCACCCTTTCTTGGATGCGCACCCCAGAACAAAAAACTTAGAAGGGAAACGTAAACGGGAACAACTGAGTACAAACATAATTAGTTTGGAGAACATTCAATAGAGGGCGCATAGTTAGCGTGCGTGTTAAAGTTACTAAATCTAGTAACTTTAGTGCGTGTTCGCCATTATGACAGTTGAATTTTGAATTTTGATTGACGGCTTATTGTGCTTTAAGTATAATTACTATTCATTATTACAATGAATTCTGCATACACAAGTCGAGAACGTACATGTTGTGTGACAAATTGTGAAGACGTTTCCAAAAAATGGAGCCCGAAGTTTTTAAGAATTGGTTTAGAATATAATGTGGAAGAAATTTACACAAAAGTTTTTGGTTTGTGAACGTCATTTTTCTGGATGCGCTTTAGAACCTGGAACACGAAGAGATTTAAAGCGTGTGGCAGTTCGCACATTATATTAGCAGGTAACACTAATTGAATTGTAATAAATTGCCACATATTTTATTTTTAGAACGATCTGGAGAGCATCATACAGTAGAGTTCCATGAAGTTGATCTTGTATCTTATATAATCGTATTAAATTAAATATAACTCCTTGATTGGATTAATTGGAGTTGTTACTTATAAAACAAGTGCCCTGTACTCTTTGAAGGCCCTGACTGGTGAGGTGCATCCGCATTAAACTGAATTTATTTGGAACCCTAACAAATAAAATTGGACTTCACTGGCTGGATTCATTTACCTTTTAGGTTTCAGCTAGTCAAATCCAATGTTATTGTTACAGATCCGGAGAAATTCACTATAATGCGGACGTAGCTTACATTTTAATATTTAAATTTGGCGCCATTCACGCAAAAGCTGCTGAGAACATACACGAGATGGCGCGTCATTTTTACATTACACTACAGTTTCCATTCTAAGTTTGTTGTTCTATGATGCGCACTCGTCGATCACCGATCTCCCCTCTCCATGTCTCTGGGAAGTACCCAACGAAGTACCTACTTGTACTAACTAGTAACTGCTAACTTAAGAGATGAGTTACCAAAAAAAACGACTATAATCACTGTCTTTGTACAACTGTTTTCGGCCGAAAACAGTTGTACAAAATCATCATTGTGACACCGAAATAGAAAAAAATGATTTACGCTCGCTATTTTTATTTAAACCATGTGTAACGAAATTTACATATTCGGTCGTCGCGCGTAACGCCATCTACTTCAGACCCATTGCACTATTATCTGTCATTTTGAATTCAAAATTTGAAAAAGTTTCTTAAGTTTGCCATACCTTGAAGTGGTTGACTTTAAGGCTGGACAGTACATACAGAACGGAGTATGTAAAGTTGCCTATTGTCAATCCCCAAATTTGGTTATTTATAATATTAATTTGTGTTCGATGGTAAAAACATAAACTTAGTCCATTTTCTATCTGTATAAAACCAGCCACGCGGCGGAAGCTATCTTTTCGCGCTTTTGAGGAAAACTTTTAAGTTGTTTTTCCAAGATAACTTATCTATAAATGAAGTTGGAACAATTTCCAAAATTAAGATACGTTCGTAAACTTAATATCTAGGCAATAACGCCAGGAAAATTTATTTCCTTTTTTCTTTTCCAAAATATGACACCCTAACAGCCCTCGACGTTGCCCTTAAAAAAAAGATTATTTTAAAACATTTTAGTAAACCCCGGCGTTATTGTCTAGCTAAAGCATTCACCTTTCACAGGAATATTCGACCCCTTCTTCAACTTCACGCGTTTTCGGGCAACGGAACGGGTGTACTGTCCAGCCTTAATGCGATGCTGCCAGGCTCATATCATTGATCTAAGCTGCCAGGCCCCCCACGAGCATCTCTACACCTTATCAATCAAGTTTAAAACCAATATTTGAGTAAATGTAATCATACGTGTACGCATTCGTGTACCTACGCTAGTCGCTAGGAAGTAAAACCAATGAATAAAGAATATTCTTTATTCATTGGTAAGAACGAATAGGTTATAAGTTAACCTAAAAACTAGGATGGCATGAGCTTCGATCATTATGATCGAAGGGCATGAGACGTGAGGACAAGAAAGCAGAAGTTCTCAAACAGTCAAACTAGTAGTGAAACTGTGAACTGAATCTAAATTCGAATATAATTTAAAGTAAATGGGGTTGGAGAAAAAATTTTATGTTTTATTCGTACAAAAAATTCGTTTTCGGGACAAATAACTATTGCATTATTGATTATAGTAACGAAATACCAAGAAAATCAATATTCGTTTAAAAAAATTCACAGATTTCGCGACCCATACAACCATATCGGAGACATTCGAAATGATAACCGTGATAACTGTAACTCTTATTAAATCGGATCACTTGGTGCACTCCTTCGCAAGCTCGCTCGTGTCGCAAACGTAACTCTTTTTTTTATTTAATTATAATAAAAGAAGTTAAGCAAACGAGGATGTAGCTATTGTTTTTCGAAGTATTCACCATTAAAGTTAATACACTTCTGCATTCTTTCGAACCACTGTGCAAAACAGTAATGCCAGTCTGAAGTTGGAGAATTCGCTTGTTCTGGCGACTGGAATCGCTTTCCAGGCAACTGTTTCTTGATTCTTGGAAAAGTAAAAAGTCATTAGGGTTCAGGTGGGGAGAATATGGTGAATGAATGATTATGAACATCGACATTATGAGCATTCAAAAATTCAGTTGCGCGACGAGCAGTGTGCGAGCTGGCATTTTTCGTGGCGAAGTAGGATGCGACGATTTTTGTTAGTTTTTTGCAATTCGTTGGACCTCAACCGAGGGTTGACGTGATTTTTGTGTTTATAGGGAAAGAAAAAATGTACCTACGTGAGGAGTGGGAATAAAAAAATTCGTTAAACCGCTTGTGAGCAAGAGGCGAAGAGTGCACATTCAAATTTGTTTTTTCGATTTAAATAGCCCTTATAGACATTTCATGCCTTAACGTGAATACAAACATGAAATAATTTTTAATTTCTGATCGAATGACACCAATACCAAGGCTGACAGACAGACAGACATAAAGATCGCAAAAGTGCATTTTTTAAACTTGAAAGTGCACGAAAAAGTTTCATTCGATTTAAAAAATCTCCTGCATATGCGGACCCGGTGTGATTATGGGTAACACTCCATGTGACTCACCCAATGACATCCCAAGTAGACTTTGGCGCGTTCTAGGAGATGCCAAAAGGGCACTGTGAATTTATATTCTATTAGACTCCAATTTGGGAATAATTGCGTATTATATCACTACCAGCTATGCCCACTTTGAATTTCATTCAATTCGGTTCATAAATGACCGAGATAGCTATAGGGCACTGTGAATTTTAAATCGATTGGACCCAAATTTCGGAATTGCGATGGATAAATTTGAATTTCATTCAATTCGGTTCACAACTAATGTCAATAGGGCCTTCCTTATTTGTTGGCCTGCATTGTCAATTCACAAACTCGAATCTACAAATTTGATATAAAATCCACCTAAAAATTTTATCTCAATTGGCTAACTTTTTTTTAAATGTACGATTTTTGTGTTTTTTTGACGGGTTTTCGATTTTAATAGTCCTTATGGACATGTCATGCCGTAACAAGAATAAAAACATGAAATAATTTTTAATTTCTGATCGAATGACACCAATACCAAATCTGTAAGTGGTGTAGTTCCAGAGCCTTTGTGACTTAGACAGACATCAAGAGATTTTTATTTTTTTCAAGTGAAAGTGCACTAAAAAGAGAAGATGGAGAATACTCTATGAATATAGGTACAGGGAATGTTTTTACATGTATGGGTTATACAGTTATACTGCCTATCAGGGAATTTCATATTGGCTATGTAAAAAACGGATTAAACGCATGGAATAGATGGCTATAATAGGCATGGAAATTCCAAATTATTGGGAAAAAATCGTATCTATTCACACGTTTGTCTTTCAATTAAAAAAAGATCATGTATATGTATCTATATGTATACAAATATAACAAAAAGACGTTTTGTCCGTTTCTTCACATTTCCAACATATTTTTTTATCAAATAAATAAGGTAATATGGGTGTATGATGTGTTGCAGACTTTTTGTTTAGAACCACATTGTATGTACATTTGAGAAGACAATCTCTGTTACTCATGACAAATTTTATTATACAACAAAACTACAAACAACAGTACATAATTAACCTGACGAATACAAAATTAATAAGGTTTGAATTTACGAAACTGCTTCATAGCAGCTACCCTTTTTTTGTCTTCCTCATACTTTTTCCGCATTTGCACCAAATGGTTCATTTTTGATTCGCGTTTCTGGAAAGTATAAAAGTCTGCAAGATATTTACGTTCATCTTGTTTTGCAATCCTTTCATTAATTTTATTCTTTACACTTTCTTTACGAGCATTGCCCTTTCGTCTACTTTTATTACTAACGACAGTCCAACCTCCGCTCTCTGTTCCCTTTGCAGATTTATTTTCATTTTCCATAATTTTATCAAATTTGAAAACGAAATTATTCACCTCCTCCTCCAACTTATCTCGGTCGCAAATTTGATCGTTATATTCTTTCGTCCACTTTTTTATGCCTGTAACTATGGTAGCGTCATTTGTTGGAATCAGATCTATAGTACTCAGATCCAATGCGTGTTTTACGCCATCTGATTCTTTGAAGATGATAAATGCAATTTGAAATCCTACAGTTTCTACATCTTCACCTGCCTGGCTTTGCTTTGTCTGCAGAATCACATCATCTACTGTACCGGCAGAGGAAAATGCTTTCATTAAATAGTTGGCATTTATGTACGGTGGTATATTAAGTACAAATAATGTTCGATCAGGGGGCTTATCATCTGTATGATGTCGTACGGCATGTTTTTTTATAAACAATTCGTGGCAAGTAGTAGATTTTTCCGATAATCGAATAGGAAGAACTAAAACAAGTAAGGTAAACTAGGGATGAAGGAGAAATTAACTTACCTTTAAAACCCTCATTAACTTTTGATTTCATAGTTTCACCACGTTTGTTTCTTCGATTTAATACAGATAAACGCTCAACTGGTTTAAAAAATAAGGTAAAATACCAAAAATCGTGCTGAAAACTAAGCAATTATAACCTAAAAATAGTTAGGTTATATTGATCTTGTGTGCATGGTCACATTCAATTACGCTATTACTATGAATGCGTTCAATGATTACATAAAACCGTGTCTACAAGTTTTGCAGTACGCAGAATTCGCACTACAGTACTGTAGCGTTGTTGTGTTTTAGTTACAAATTAAATGCTACTCGTAGCGTAGGGTTGAATATACGTATTAATGAATACTATTCGGTTTTTAATTTGAACTGCATAGTGAATAAGGTTAAAAATTATATTCGCACTGCAGCAGTACAAATAAAACGTGGTATTTCCACATGCTTTATGAACTAGGCGAGCTTAATGATTTTTGATAGTGAACTAAACAACTATTTCCGTAGGGAGTTGTGGGAAAAGCTAAATCTGTTCGAAAAGACATCGTCAAGTGTTCTGAACTAATTTAAAAAAGTGCGCTACTATGACTATTCAGTTGGCAGAATCACTCTAAAATCTTTTAAAATATATCGACTTCCTCTCTTCACCATTTCATTTAACCTGGTTCCGAATCACGCATCCAGAAATGATTTTTTACTTAAGCCAAAATTTTGATGTTGTCATTAGATCATGCTTTTAATATTTTTCAATTACGACGTCAAATATTCGAAACAATTGTTTGGGATTTTTGAATTTCCCATAGCTCTAACTAGAGGAAGAATAGAGCAAAATTGTTTCTCTAGTGTCGCTTTTTGGATGACCCCGTACACAATAACAAATTTCCAGACATTTAGCTACTTGTAAATTGGAGTAGGTACCTACTCGAAGCAACCGCCCACCAATAGTTTCAAAAATGTGTACCTACAATAATGGAGTGATTTATTATATTCCTATGATTATTAATGTAACGTAATTTTAGGACCAGAAATGATTCCAATGAATCCCAAAGTGCAGCCAGATTACACATATTCAATGCTGGATGCCTTTGTACCTTTGCCAGGTGATGAGATGACTCAATGCAAATGCAAACGAGGAGCACAGGTATGTACCTATTCATCGTCAAGTGATCAACTCAGCATACATTCCGTTAGGGTGATCATGGTCCACCTGGAGCTAGAGGACCGAAAGGCGATTTAGGCGAACGAGGTCCTCGCGGAGAAAAAGGGGACAAAGGTGATTTTGATTTCTTATTGCTTTTACTGGCAGATATCAGGCATGATATTGTGCATCTTCAAAATAGAGTCTACGCCAATGGGGAAAAGTGAGTAGGCCCAAATAAAATTGAACGGTTAATATCTTATCTGATACTAGACCACCCAAATTTGATTTCGAAATGGCATTGGAGAGACGTCGCGACAAAGAACGACGCAGATTATTATCACAAACAAAATTACTTCAAGCATTTGTTGCATCCACGCAGAGCACCATAAAAAAGGATTTCACAATCAGTGGTACCACTGAAAGTGTTGGATCAGCATCCGTAAAAGATGATATAGGTGAATTTCAAGATATTGGGCAAGTTACTAATTTAGACGAGTACATCGATGACTTAGATTATGACGAAGGTTCGGGTGAAATGACAGATGAAGACTATTTTTAGACAAATACACAGGCCTTCGATGTGCTTATAAATCGATGAACTAACGTAACGTGTAGTTGTAGACTACAGTGGTCGCGCTGTAATAATGTAAGAATTAAAAAATAAAGAGTACCAATTTTGAGGTTTATATTACTGCCTATTCAGCTTGGAACATATTGTTTCGAAGTACTGGTTCAACTTGAAAATGAAAACATGAATTAGGATCCCCCAACCCCCTTTGCATAATTTGCCAAATTTAGGGCAAATGAGGAACTACTTCAGATCTTCATTCATGAATTCTGGACATTGCGCAATTGCAAATTTGTTTGCAGGTGAGTTATTTAATTGGAGAAACACTTTCAACTTTACGATGGAGTAGGTTCTCTTTGGTTATGTCCGACGTGTTCCACTTTGGTGTGTGGAAATCGGCAGATTACTTCTGTTATTCTTGAATAATTTTCTTCGAAATAAAAAAGATCCGACGCATTCACGCTCAAATCGTCATCAAATAATATAGAGATGCACACTTTTTAACATGCAGTCGACCCACCTTACTTTAAACTGACGCGCTCGAGTAAATCCCAAAATCCTGGCCTCCCCTATTCCTAAGAGCCAAAAAGCAACACACCAATATCCTGGACATTGAAATTTTGGAAACAAGCAGGAAAACTGAAACTAACTTACTTTTGTCAATATGTCTCTCACATTTGAGGCTTGTATCAATTTCGGTATTACTAACATTCTTTTCTTTCAGGGGTTTAATTATTTTATTTATTAACTGTACAATATCTGACATGAAGAACTGTTGTTACTGGTATGGCAATATCTAATCATATTACAGATACATATAAATTATATGTATTGCTTTGACCTTTTAATGCAATAATAAAATTCTCTACAACGCTACCAATCGCACGTATAAATTCAGTCTTACAATTCCATCCTGGATATAAAATGATTTGAAAAATCCATCTTATCAAAAGAAAAATATAGCACTACTTATTTGTTTAAAGCAAACGTGATATTGCTCACATCTGATGACTTTACTATTTAGAATATGCAGACATTTGTGTTTTTCTTACAATGGAAAGTAGTACTCATTTATTTGTGACAATGTGTCTGTGTCAACCATCTGCAGAAGTTGTTCGTACTGCGACTGTCCAATTTGATTTCTCAATTGGTGTAACTGGAAACAAAGCATTATGAATCACATATCAGTTGAAACCTTTATTACTTGTGATTGGAAGTAGTCCTTTAAAACAATTAAATGTACAGGATCTGACAGAAGAAGTTCCCTTTTGCGTTGATCGTGGTCAGTTTCATAATAGCCATCGGTGTCTTCCTGGAAATCTCCAAGATTTTGACCATCTATAATAACTAAAGAATCCACAGAGACGCCGTTATCGTCAGTTTTGCAAGTGTCATTTAAAGCTTCTAGAATATTCAACATGACACCATTAAACCGTGCCATCACTGCCCTACTCTGAGTCGTTAATAAGTTAACTAGAGCCAAACCTACACAAAAAAAATAATATTCAGCGATCAGTGGCGCACTTTACCTAAGAGCTTTCGTCGTTCCGTTTGAGAAACGTTACACATTTTAGATAACCAAACGTCTAGTATGGATTCCAAAACATTTTCTTCGGTACAGTGATGAACCTGCGATATTGCAGTGATTGTTTCGGCAAAGATGGTATGTGATGAAAGTAAGACACGAGCCAATATCGACAAGTACATGGATAAAATTGTTGGTGTAATATCTGTGTCTCGATAAATTAATCTGCAATGAATTGTTGAATTTCACAAAATGTATCATATAAATAGGAAAACAGTGTATAATAGAGAGGAGTATGGATTCCCTATCTCAAGCTCAAAGTTTATGATCGATGCAAAGGAAGATGAAATTTAGGCCGAGTGTATCACACCAGTGTGTTTTTATGGTGTTTTCTTACGGAAAAAATGAACGCGCGCATTTCATAAAATGCAGTGAAAGCGGAAAGCACAACTTTGCTCATACATTTATTCTTAATAAAATGAATTAAAATTGTGTTAATCTGTTAAATAATACAGCAAACAGACTTACTGAAAAATGCGAGGTAAAATTGGTTTAATTGTTTCAGACCCAAGTTGAGGTAGAGCTCGAACAAAAGTTTCCAGCAGTCTTGTTAGCATAAGTATTCCTTCATATTTTAAATCAGATATTAGACCATCACAAGTAGTTACGATTTGTAAACCATAGGTTTTCATTACAAGTTCTGGTGCTAACAACAGATGCACTAAAGTTACTATAAGACAACACCGCAAATTTTCCGTAGAGTACTCTGTAATGAACAAATTAGCAAACACTCAATTCTAAAACCCACTCGAAATGGTCAAATTTCTAGACACACTGTTTTAGTTCTCAAATAATAATAAATATTAGAAATTGACGCCCCTTTTTACACAAAACAGGACCGAAGAAATTTGATCATCTAAAATGAGATTGAACCATGCATACCTAGTAAAGGTGGCATGTTATTAAATAGTTGCATTAATTCGTTGGTCATACTAGCTGAATTTTCTAAAACCGTCAGCCAGAGTTCTAAACTGTCTTCCAGTAGATAAACTATTGCGCTCTGATTGACATCTGTACCAAGTTGAATGATGGGCAAAAGAAACGGGTTTAATTCCGCACTACTTGATCCAAGTGCCTTCACCAACTGAACTAAAGTAGAAACAATGGCACACCTCAGCATATTATGTTCTTCGGATTCTTGCCATAAACGCGGCAGATAAAAAATGAGAGCGTCCGTGTGAGGTCGCACGGTTTGCCCAACCCTTTCCAAAATTAACGTCATAACATTCAAAACGTGCATCTAAAAGTACATTAGTGACGCTTTGTAGATACGACGTTTAGTTACCTTCGTTTCACATTCTACCACCTCCTTCAGTAAACTAAATAACAAATTAAAGGCTGGATCTAAATATGGCTTAAACTGTTCAGAATTAAATTCAAAGTCATCTATAGCTAATCTAAGTGTTGTAGAAGCGGTTAGTCTCACAGCCATGTCTTCTTCGGCGCTTAACAAACTTATAATACAATCATACAAAATCGGCCTTAACTCTAAAGATAGTTTAATTCCGGCCCAATTACCGAGTAACCAGGCAATACGTCTTCTTATAATTCGATAATTGTTATGTCTCACTTTCAATTCCTGGACCAACGTGTTTGTTAACCACTGATCAAAATTTACCTAAAACGAAAAGCAAACTTCTCAGCAATGATATTATTAATAGCATATCTTTGTAGTCATCCTTGCATGTGAAATAATGAAGTGTTTCTGAAAGTTTACTGCATAATATTCTGTTCTAAAAACACGCTGTAATGATAGGCATCATACAGAAAACTTCACTCTGATTGAATTAAAGACATTCGCTCTTTGAAAGCGGTCACGTAGCGTGAAATTATTGCGATTCATACGAAATAATTAGCGCTAGAATTTGTTATTTTCAAAGAGGGTTGGTCCTATAGTTTAGGGCTGAGTGATTTACAAAAGTGAGCAAAAGAGAAGTAGCGCCAAAATTCTTCGCCCAAAAATAGCAACATTGTAATAAAGAAGACTTGCTTCGGTTTCATTGTCGACATCGTAAAACCTCCCAGTGCTAAATGGACAATTGAATAATCCCACGTTTTGTCACACGCCAGCAATGTATTATTTCAAAAATAGCATCTCGGGAAATAATTTATGAGGAGGGCCCGCCCCTTAACACAACTAAATTTGATGGTCATCTGACACACCTTCAAAATATAGGCTACTTATTAATTCTCAGATTAGCTCATATTGTATCTATTGAATGTTTGTTTGTTAACAGAACTAACCAACTTTAAAACACTGCTGAAATAGTAAATACTTACATGATCATATAAATCAAAAGCAGCCAAACCAAATGCATTATAAACAGCATCCTTTTTAAGAATACCTTGTAAGTCGTCAACCAGAACAATACTATTAGTTTCTTGAAGCATTTCTAACAACACAGGACCTAATACCTCACGAAACTCGTGAAAAATTGTGACAAACACAGTTTCCATGCACGGCTAAAACAGCACAATCAAACATCCAATAATACACGGAAACCAACGCACCCTAAGACTATATTTCCAACTCTCTCCAACTTCATCATTTACAAATGTTTCTGGATCGGAATTCCACAGCTCTAAGTCGTCCTGTTTCAGTAAAAAATAATGAGACACTAGTTTCCTGCACATTTCCGTAAGGGTGTTGGTAACGAAGAATTCAACTTTAATTTGATGCGCGCGTAGAGTTTCAGGCTCTCTAGTCAGTTCGGGAACTTTGGCCGGCTTGTATTCGACACACAGTAGAATTCCTTTGATAAGATTGAAACATTGTATTGTAAACCTCTCGTAAATATACTGTGCGCCCGCAGGTGTGAAGATATAATATATGGCAAACTCTAAAGTGGGTTGTATAAATTCGACGAAAGAAAACGGGTGAGTATCCAGTACGTTGAGTAAAATTTTCGTTAGATGAATAATAAACTTTTCACATAATTCTAATACGTATATGCCTTTGCCGCGTAGTTGTTTACCTGAAAGTTGTATTTCGTCGCGAAAATGGTCTGCGGTGAATATACTTACGATATTCTAGTGCAGTACGTGCTCTCTCGAAGATAAGTTTCAAAAATGTGACACAATCGGGATTTTGGTGGGGTTTGTAGAAGCCGAACACGGTCAACTTCCTCAATATTCGTAAAGTAAGTAGTGCCTTTTCTAAATTGATGGTAATGACTTCTGCGGAAGCATTTTGTGACGTGTCCCTCAAAAATGCTTCGGTGAAATTCATCCAGAGATATAAAATAAAGTTGTATACACTGTTTGTAAATTCTTGGAATAGCCTTCGGTCTCCTAAAAATCAGATGTAATAAATTGAAAGTGTTGACTTGTATGAGCAGCCAGTTTCCAGTAGCTAAAATGCTGAAAACATCCATTGCTTCAGTGGGTTTTGGTAGAAATACAGTAGGAACTGGAAGGTGTCTACACTTTTTTTTATCCATTTGCTGAAAGATGGAATTTGGCTTGCGAGTTTAAATTTTTTTAATGAGTGACATTTAAATGAGTTGCAGAACCAGTCCGATTGAGTTGCAGCTTATCTCAAAATAAGCGCTCTTAAAAAACTTGAATTTTGACACCGATCTCGTATATTTTTTAAGACGTCTGGGGTGGACATAATTAATTAAAGGTTTTAATTTTCGAAATTTGTCGAAGGAATAAGCATACGAGATGGGAATTCCCGTTGTCCCTATCCGAAATAGTCGGGATAAACAGAACCACACTACAAAAAGGGTTTTTGCCATTTATACTTGCCGTAAGTATGTTAAATTATGTAGCATTTCCATAAATTTAGTTTTCATCCGTACCGTTCGTGTTTGGCCTGTCTAAAATTGATTCTGCCTCACCGTATCTAAATCTTTTGAATTTGGTGAGGTACCGAAATGTAAGTTTAACCGAAACGTAAAATGTACATCTTTTGCCCTTTGGTGTTTAATCGTAGTTAAATCTTTTGCTTTCCCGTAGAAACCGCTACCGAATCTGATTGTTTACTATTCTCGAAAATATGAGCTTGAAGTGTTGTTTTAGTATTCACCAGTAGCCGCGCACCACTTGCCCTTTAGAATTCCTGGGACCGCCGTTCTCCATTCGAGTTCCCTGCAGCTTACCATCACCGACCGTATCTTGTACAAAGCAAGAGAAACTAAAAACTTCTGGTGGCGCCCGAGGTACACCCGTTCCGCCGTCGCCGTTTACAGATTTTGACAATACAGCTGGAGTTTGCTTTTTCTTACAGTCATTAAATTTCATTTTTGTAATTATACCGTTTATTTTTATGTGTAAAGGAGAAGCGAAGTCACTGTTGGTGTGGTCGTCGCACTTTGGCATTGCATATTATATGGCTACAGCTATGCCCAGTTTGAAGTTCATGCAATTCGGTTCATAAATGGTCGAGATGCCAAAAAGGCACTGTGCTTGTTGAATTGATTAAGGTGGGTTCATAGTTCTCAGTTCATCCGTTGCATTGAACAGTCATCGTACGGTAACAAGATGTAACTATAACCTAAATTTTATTTTGTACTGAACAGCAACACTTATGCAAGTAAGAACACTTTGCTATCTGAAGAAATGCTGCCCAGTCTTCAAATCTTCAACGTCAACAATAAACATAACCTCACTCTTGTTAAAAACAGACCAACGGAAACGTAATGTTCAACTTTTCCGTCGTAAACGGACGACGTACGATTCAACAAGTTACTGTCTTCTGATTGACTAACGGGCACACGGAAACATAGAACCGGAGAGCCATGAACCCCCCTCATTTTTGGCATTGCATATTATATGGGTATAGCCGTGTTCAGTTTGAATTTCATGCAATTCGGTTAATAAATGGTTGAAATGTCAAAAGGGCCATCCTTATTTTTTGGCCTACATTGCCAATTCACAAACTCTGATCTACAAATTTGGTAAAAAAAAACCTGCCAGATTTAATTGTAATCAGTCCATCAGTTCTCTTTTAAATCATTGGACGTGAAGCTATCGAGCGGACGGACGAAAGAGCGATCGATTGGAAAAAAGCATTTTGTTAAAATTTTGGCAGTGTACATTAGGTATAAAGAATGTAAAACTGTCAAAAACTTTTTTTAATAGCGTTATACCACTGTTTTTTTAAACAGTACCCCACATTTTTTAATAACGAGCAAAGTTTTTGATTGGTTACCCATTCAAATACGAGTACTACCAGGAGCAACGTTACTGGACTGTAGTTAGTAATAATAAACATAAACGGTATTAAAAAAACGCGTAAAGTAAAAGAGTTCCACAGGGTTTTATTGTGGAGCCATGGTTGTATACTATGTACACTTAAAATGTTCGTACATGTTTGGGGACTTCTAAGGAAGGGGAAGTTCCTCAAGAACAGGGCCGGATTGATGGGGGGGTGTCACACCCCCCCTAACGCGTGACCATAGTAGGCAAAACTTCAGTTAGTCGGCACTCGGCAAATCGCTATTCAAATTAAATGAAATTTGGTTGTGAAAATGTTTTCTCGCCATATTATATCACAGGGAACTGTAGAATATTTTTATTGTTTCCTGTTATAATAACGAGTTCAGTTTCATTACAAACATCCCATGTAAATATCTTGTAGGCGGAGCGCCGAGCGTGCACACATAATACTTATTTTATTACTGATGTCATTGTTTAAATACTTTATAAACAGTATACTAATGTATGCCTGTATAGTAAAATAATATCATTGAGTTCTGCAGATTCCAAACGTTGCAAAATTTGATCTTTAGCCCAGATAATGATTACCTATTATTATATTACACCAGCCACCAGCCTACTCATTTTGGTACTTCCGTACCTACTAAATGCTTTTCATTTTTCAATGACGCAAATTTTTCTAGCCGTTATGTTTGCATGGGTCTAAAAGTTGCGATAGGGATAGATGGTAGATAAGTATACAGGGACAGAGTGGTCATTTTTAGCGCCTGACGATGGGAGCTCTTACGTTAAAAATTAATGTTGGTCAAATTGGGGTAAAGTTAAATTTAAATCCGAATCAATAATTGAAACCACTTGTGGGATAACTCTTTTAGTTACAATAATTGAAAAGAACTAGATTCTACGTTTTAATAATTCTGTATTAAAAAAAAACGAGTATACCTACTTGAGAAATGGGCGGTTTAGACTATGACATTATTTTCTAATAAGAGGAATTTGTTTTGAACGTAGGGGTCACATTGTATTTTTATATTTTTTTAATAAAGAATTTACTATGGATTTCTATATTACATTTTAAATATAATATTAATTATTCCAATTGTCACGAGAGTGTCTTTTAGACAAAAATAGGTTTTGGATAGATTACCACTTTTAACTTATAATAATATCTAATAAAATCTTGCCAAAGGAACTCTTTACTACATTTAAAACGACATTTTTATTGATTACTTTAATTGTAAATGTAAACTACCAAAGCAAACAAACTTGACTGCAATTTCTAAAGCACTGTCGTGAAAATTGAATAATAAGGTATTGTGGTAAAATCAAAGTAGTAAATTAAAAGCTATGGCAAGTCAGAGAAAAATAACTCTGATGAAAGATCATAAGATGAAATTTGGCGACCCTAAAAAGCAAAAAAATGTTCTGGCCATATTCATCAAATTCCTCTGAAAAAGTCTTCTAAACGTCCCACTTCGATTCGGTTTTATAAATTATAAAATAGAATCCATATTCATGATGAGCCGCGAAAAAAGAGCACTCTGTATACCTAATGACAATTATCATAAAATAATTATTATTACTTTGGTATTTATTAAAATGCCGTCGTTTAATGTCTATATTTTGAATTTTGATTGAAGTCTGCATTTTTATTGCATACACCTCCCTCACTTGGAGCCTCTGACTACGGCCCTGCTCAAGAATTTCTTAGTAGTATCTAAAATTTCCTGGAACTTTTGAGAATGTTGTAAAAGTTTTTAGATATGTACTTTATAAATCTTTTAGAATTTTTTAGAAATTTCACTTGGTTTTCAATTGAACTGCGCAAGAGTGAAGAAATGTTAATTTATATACACTTTTGGAGAGGAGCTTAAAGAAAGAACATTTAATGTTCGGAACTGCTCGGTTCAAATGCAATAAAAGTAAAATTAACAAACAAAATTAATTTAATTAATCTGAAAATGAACTTGTTTCTATACAGAAGCGCAAGACTAAAACAATGAAAAAAGCGGAATGTAGAAAATTTATACGATTTTTCATGATCAAAAAAGGAAGATTAGAAAAATGTTCCTGCTGTGTACTGACTATCTAAAAAGAAGATTGATGTGAAATATGTAAAAAATTTCAGGCATTTTATAAATAAATTATTTACCTAATGATTTTGGTATCTTGTAATTTTTTTTAATAATTAATTTTTAATTTTTTTTTTATTTTTAATAATTAATTATTACGTACTTTGACGTATATTTCAAAAACATGCTCGTAGAATTTTTTTAGAATTTTCTGGAACGTTTTAGAATTTTCAAGATGCTTTTAGAACTTTCTAGAATTTCGTTTAGAATTTCTTTTAGAATTCTAGTATACACAAAATTTGAAGTGGTTTACCCCTCGTTATATAGCCATTTACTTTACTCTAGCATGTATACTTACTGGTGTTTTCTGCTACAGTAGTGCTACCTCGAGTGCTACTGTATTTCTATTAAAATAACCATACACACTGAATGTTCCGATATTTTTTAGCATCTGGAAACTGGTTGCTAACATTAGCAAGCGATAAATGCCACACCTGGAAGTCTTTTGGATGAAATAGTCTTAACAACATGATGAAAAGTAAGTAATGAACGATGTTGAATTAAAGAATCAGAGCCTTCTATTCCTCGTAGCAATGTTGGGAATAACTCGGGCCATTCTCTAGGGCAGTCTATGCGAGCGACTTTGGATACAAGCACGGCTAATTGTAACGCGATTTGATTTACTGGTTCACTAAAATTGCTGATGAGATTTTGTCGCAATGTTGCTTTTTCTAATTCGGATATTCCACTAGAATAAAATGAGTGATCAAAATTACGGAAATGCGCGAATTATACTTACTTGGGCGCGTTTTTTCGCCAATACTTGTCGACACCGTTTTTAAAATATAAAACTGCTATCCAACGTACATTTAAATCAGTTGAATGACTAGATATAATGTTCTAAAAAATGTGTTACTTACTTTGTATTAGATACACACAAAAAATGCTCTTACTAATAAAACTGTATAAAATCCGGGTTGAGTTTCCCATTCGCGTAATTTTGCTTCGGCCGGTTTTAGAAGTTCCGGATTTTGACTAGAAGCTCTTTGCAAAACTTCTACAACCATGGCCTGCGCATTTCCCAAATCCATCTTTTATCATTACCCTTCTATATTAAGTATTTATATGGTGTAGGCCAAAGTATTTAAATGTATAGCACAAGGAAGAGAAAAAATAGGTTATGTACACAATAACGTTAAGCTGAGAGCTGCAACAAGTTAAGAAACCCCTTACTTCTTCAAATGCATAAGAGATATACAGTACGTGTGCACAAGTGACTATTTACTCACTTGAAATTACAAATTTTCCGGGCAACCCCAAAATTAATGAAATCAGCTGTTTTCTAATTCATTTTAGCACTGTTCACAACAAACCACAAAGCACACCAACCGGCAAAAGAAAAGGCTGGTTCACTTTAACCAATATGCATACAGGGTGAATTTATATAACTGAGTCAGTTGAAGCATTGTAATATGTACTGTTGAAGCATTGTTATACACAATCGTCAAACTTATTTCTAGTGGCTGTGAACGTGGTCGCATGATGCTTCCAGTTGCAGGAAATCAGGTAAACCTTCTCCACTGGACACTTAGGACACACGAGAGAATATTATATTCGTATACATAATTATAAATTTTTTTTGACAATGCTTTTTATTGTAGGTCTGTAACGAACTCTTTGTCCAGTGTCATGGAACATCGTGCCTAAATGCCACGTTGTCTCTTCAGGGTACCCATGCAGATAAAGCGGAAGACGAGGAGAACTACGAGTCGGTAATTTCAGACGAAAGGTAACTTTACGCTAACTCTTCAGTTACCTACCTCGTATTAAATTTCACGAAGAGCATTTTCAGCTAAACATATTTCATCTAGCCCCGAACGTCGCGATATATTTGCAAAAAACCGCAAAAAAAATACGAAAACTGATGAGTTCAGTTTCGTCTCCTTTTATGAATTTTCTAGGCTAAGAGGTACATCTAGGCTAACTTCTGAGTATCTACCTTGTAAGAAATTCTGACACCTAACCAATTTTTTCTTTTCCACCCCAAAATGTCCAGTTTGCCAATTTTACAGTCTCTATCGCCTAGTATTGAAAGTGATACTTTTTTTTCATGAATTTGCAGTTTGATTAATGAAAGAGAAGCCCGAGTTAATCATCAAGCAAATTCATGAAAAAAAGACACTTTCAACACGTGTGCATTAATTCAATAATATTATGATTGATATTCGCGATTTACTGTCACTTAAAATTTGAGTTATTGTTCATAGACAGGACTAAAGACCATGGAAACGCATTGTAAAAATCGGAAGAAAAGTACCACGTTCCATACGATTTTTGGACAAAAAAGTCGGTAATATGACAAAAAAAATTTTATCAGCGCGGAATATCGCAATGAATAAATTTTCTTAAGCCTGCACCGCAATCTTGACGTCGTTGTCTCATTTACTCCGAAAGCGTTACCGAAACTACAGATAGGTACCCAAGTTCCAAGGATCGGTAAAGGAAGGGCTTCCCTTTTGGAGACTTCATGGCATCGTGCGCAATTTTTCTACTCACCTCTAAGTAATGCACACTTTTATAACCTTATGAAGTAATAAGTATACTATTACTTTTAACGAACTATTATAGGTAGGTACCTGTAATCTGTGCTTGATGTGCTTACTTTGTACGTGGCTCATTCGTAGTCTGCAGTATACCTAAATCACAAGAGTGGGTATTTATGAATTAGGTACCTATGAGTATAGATTTATTTATTAATGTTCAGCCTTTTTGGTTTAGTGTTACATTTTGACATGCATCTATATTAATTGTTGAAAAGTTGTGATCAAAATATGAATTTTAGAACGCAATTATGAATTAAGTACATTAAGCGGATTGTTTTCTGTGGAGACAAGTAAAGACAACAAAATCATCAAAATTATACAATATAGACACTGTTAAAATGTTACTAAAATTTACATTAAGTAATTAATAATACTAACGATAATGTACAAAACTGACTGTCGATTTACAAATTATTTACATCCAGCGTAAGGATTACTATATTAATATTTTGTTAAAAAAGGTTGTATAAAAATATTATAAATTATGATAAAATATTAAGTGGTAACACATAACAACAAAAGATGTGTAAATTATACACATTGACAAAATAAATAATAATAATAAAATGTTTTTGAATGCAACAAAAGTTACATAATAGTCACACACGCACTACCACAGCATGTCGCTACTTTGGTATAAGTAATTTAATTAAATAACTGTCAATCACTTTCGTCTTTTTCAACTCGTCTTTTCGCTTTTTTTTCTCTTTTTTTCTTAGCGTTGGGCGTCACTACACAACTGCACCCACTCCGAACGCGTATGTAGTCTAACGTAAAGGTTGCACCGTCGGTCAAAGGAAATGCAGGAAAGTAGTTTGGTCTTTGATGTTGATGCCTTCCTGGATCTTTCACCAATGCATATGTATAACTATATTTTTGAATACATTTCGATTGTATGTGTAACTTCCTATCAATAAATCTACAAGGCCTACCCACAATGTCTTTGTGACACGAAAGTTCGTAGAAGCGTTGTCGATTTTCACCATCTCGATACAATTCGACATATTGATCATCTTGGTTTTTACCACCTTCGGGTTCAACCATTTCTAGCACTGACGGACAGCAGTCTACAGCCGATCGAAGTTGGGTTTCGTTTCTTAGTAGTTCTTGATTTTCGCGCGGACTTAGCAATTTTCCAGCGTTTGGCAGTGAAATTTCGTGTTTGTAGTAAGGGTCGTACCTATAACAATAAAGTTGTTAAAATGTTTTCTTTTTAAATTGTATTGTGTCATTATTTCGTCATCCCCTAAACTTACGTAGGAAAGTACTTTACAAATTGGTTTAATTTATTCAGCAGATTGCAACTGATGAAATTATTAAACCATACTACTGATTATTATTGAATTAACTCACCAAAATTCCTGCATTAGATGATGTCGATGGTGTTTATTTGGACTACGTTTTGATCGAAACGTAGAAAGAGTGTGATTTAAATGGTCGTAGGAAGAAACTGAGTCAAACACAGCAGCCAAGCTAAGTACCTAAAATGGAGAAGGAATGTTAAAAAAAATACACTTAGATGCAATTGCAATAAATTTATAGTGTAAATTATTCAGGGCCAGTTGTATAAGTTGATGGGAGATCCATTTGACGATCGCTTGATCCCTTCTTTCCCTTCTTGCTGTCTATTAATAATCCCAAAATTATTTTATAGAACAAAATTTTGATTTGGGAGGATTTACTGCCATGTGGATTAAAATGCTTACCAATTACGCCAACCATTCGGCAACTTAATTACAACACGCATTGCTATCATTTTCAAGGGATGTGCATCGCCGACAAATTTTGCCCTGAAATACTTATCCTTTTTGTACAAGGAAGAAATCAGGAAAGAATCCCTCAAATTCAAATACCTATGTCCTAATTTTTTATCACTTTGGGTCTAGTCTGTTTTCAGTTTACTTTGATTAAATATGGTTTTAAGTTCTGTTTTCACTAGTATTTTTAAAAGTTGTTGTTTTCAAGAAAGTGCATTAAAAACAAAAGAAGGGTGCGAATAGAGTAACTATTTAACAAAATGTCGAAGACCACCATGGTATTTTGGTGACTTTTACCATTGAATTTCTAACAAATTCAATGTTATTACTTACCTAACTAAAACTAAAAAAGTCCAAAATTGTTTCCATTTCATAATTCGGTTTTTAATTTAGCAACTTTTTTTCCATTTAACCAACATTTCATTTGTTCAATCACCGGTTCCCATGGTTAGACGCAAAAAACGGTCCGTCAGAGGTGGCATATCACCCCGGTTTACATTCTTTCGAATGTGTAAATAAAAATTTGCTCTAGTTCTAGTACATCAAGTTTTGTTTTCAGGCAGACAATTGTATGAGAACGAAGGCTGAAAACAACATAAAATTTAAAAGTAGGAAAATTACCATTTATTTGGTAATGTGTTCTTCCAATCCCCATGCAAAATATAAACGTCTCTGGACAGTATCAAGTAATGTAACAACGCGTTTGCCCTCAAAAATTGCCTCTAATAAAGGTGGGCGTTAAATAAAATAGACAACCTACAGAGCTTATTTCCTCTACCTCACCTAAATTAATACTGCTTCAAAGGTACTATTTTTGCAAAAAATACATTTATTTGGCAATTTTCTTGTATACCATGCGAGCCACTGCTCAAGAGCGATAATGACTATGGCATTTGAACGTGGTCAAGAGTTTTCTAGAGCTATCTAAAGTATTATACTGTCGCAGCATTTAAAAATGTTTAAGGGTATTGAAGAGTTTCAAAAGTGTTCAAGAACCTTCAAGTGGCACCAGGAACCTTCTACTTCTAGGTCTTTAAGGGTCTTCAAGATGTTTGTCTTGAACAAAGTCCACGAGCTTTCAACAGTCATCAAAAGGAGTCACTTCGAACTTTTCCTAAGGCTTTAAGAGTTATTATAAGAGCATTTTAGAACTTTTACGACACTTTAAGGGTTTTTAATGATCTTTATTTTGTGCGTTTAATAGTAATAATAGCTATTAAGTAGGTAGGTGCATGTTTTATAAGTACTTTCAAGGACGATGCCCATTTAAACCCGAGCGACCGAAGGGAGCGTGGTTTTAACGGGCAGAGTGCTCACCGTGTTATTTACAAGATTTTTTATAACACTGAAGCATATTTTATCCGAATTCGTCTTTTATAATTATTTTATCATGACAGAAAAATGTTTCTCAAGACCGGCGGGGCGTAGGCAGTGACAATGAATCAGGGCCGTAGCCAGGGGGGTGCCTGGCACCCTCTGGATATTAAGTGGCACCCTCTGACCGATCACGACCAGAATCGAAAAATAAAAATGTACAATAGTGCTATTTTTGTACATTGTAAAATAATTATCACAAATATACAATATTATTGTTGTTCATAATTATGACAATAAAATTAAATAGAAATGATTATTCTTGATAATTATAATACCTACATACTACATTTTGTAGTATGAGTACAATAATGGTTATTAGAATTATGCAATTTGATTCAAAAGTAACAAGTTTAAATAACTCAGACTCAGACATAGAGAATTTCATGCCAAAGAGAGAACTATTTTAATGAATATATTCCAGCTTTTTTCTATTGTTATAAATAAATTGTATTAGATAAACTATATTTTTATCTAATATTTTTATGTATCTATGCTTAAATATTGATTCGATTGACTTATATTTATGTTACGTTTATTTTATGTTATTTTTTTGTTTTTTTTTAATATACATATAATATATATTGGATAAAATTAGTTTTTTAAATAATTTTTTTGCTTTTTTGACAAACAAGTCTCTCGAGACTTCATTTTTGTAAGTGCACCCTCCAACATTTCGTTTGCACCCAATTAAGCATGGTACTTTAAGTGTATAAAGAACGTTGGACGCAGCCATTGACGACGTACTTTATAAGAAACAATTAATTTTATAGATAATAGATATTTAAGAAACGGATTTAAATAAATCTTACAAACGATTTAAAATGTCAGTATTAGAAAGAGATCTTAAATAGGCTTTAAAAGATTTAATGGACTTTAAGGCCTTAAATTCACTTTGATGTTTTTAAAATCGTCAAAAGCCTGCCATTCGAAACGATCTGAAGACTATGACTCTAATAAAAACTGCTTTTGTGTTACCAACCTCTTAATCCATTTATAAAAACCGAACAAACTACTGGTAGTCACCTTTTGAAATTTTAGTAAATTAACAAACGCGCGAAAATAAAACTTTATTATTAAAACACGTTTTGAATAATATAATTCATGGTGGAACATATAAGTATGTAAAAAAATGGAGTGGTAGAAGAGACTAGAACAATTTTTTTCTTAAATAAAGCAAAAGTCCCAAAGACAAAGGTAATTCATTAGTTTCATCTTTTTATATGTTATGGTTGCTAAATAATTCAAGTTTATAGTTCTCGAATGAAATATTTTGGATCAGCCTTCCATTTGGGAAAAAACCGTGGAATGGGTTGGTAGAACAGTTTTGGCCGGAACTCCGTCTACTTAAAAATAAAGACAAAATATCAATAAGTGTATTGTAACTGGGTTCCTGGAAGTTGAAAATCACTGTCACCCTGGCCTGTAAAAACTATTCTGTAACTCTGCATTTTGCTAATCGTTGTCTTATACTGGTTACCTAATCCTAATGAAGAAAATCTATAAACAAGTAACTAACCACCATGTGAGTAGGTGAAACTATTCCTAAAAACAAAATTGTAAATTATCAAGTGGTGTTAGTTGTCTAAGTTCAGGCGCTTTTCAACCAATGTGAACGGTATAAATTGAAATGTGCATGATATGACCATTTGTGTTAGAACGAAACCTCTGCTAGTTTTACTTGTTTCGCCATTGATTACTTATTCAATGGTTTCGCTATTAAAAACTATAAAGTTTGTTCTAACTCTAGAATTAATAAAATAAGGCATCAATGCGGGACACCTTAATTGTTTTACTGTAATCCAACAGTTCTAATACTATGTTTCGTCCTCGTCGTAGAATTCGTTGAGTGTTTCAATGCAAACACTATAAATGTAAAAAAGTTACTAAATTTTAACAACGGTGAACTCAAAAACAACAAGCAGGCAGTTTTTGTGGCGTTGTGAATTATAGGTATAAGCTCCACATTCAATCCCTATAAGTTGTCGTTCCAGGACGCCGTCAATTTTGCAAAGGCGTTATTGTCACCAAAATTACAGATGTTCAGTCATTTAATGTTAACATTTTCCTCAAATATTCAACGATTATATCCGACTTTTCAACTGGTTGGTCTCTAAACTCAAAATTTTAACTTGCATGTCGTCCTGTGTTAAAAATAAAGGACTAGGAAGTAGGAAATCAATTTTGTAGAGTCGTGGTTTGAAGCATTTTATGCTGAAATCCTGAACTAGTTAATCAGGTACAAAAAATCTTCCCTGCAATTGCATTACAAACACTTTGCAGACCTTCTATAAAATCTCCTTAGAAACGGTTTCCGAAAAATGTAGCTCCAAATTTAAGTTGTGGATTGGAATAAATCATTTTAAAGTTTTTAATCGTCCAATACCCACACTGCTTCCCATGCGTTTGTCTGTCCGTCTGTTCCTTGTCTAACTAAAAGAGAAAGCGATGTCAAACTTTCGCCAATCAATTTTTACGAGTTCAGGGATCAGTACTATTGAATATGAGTTGGATTAAAAGTCTGCTTTCTGAATGCGAGCCAAAAAATTCCCGTACTGAAAACCATTATGCGATTCTTCGTATCTTGTTATACTGTCCTATTTATGGAGCTATTAAGGAATTTATAAATGCTTAGTTGCCAGAAAAAAAAAGGATTGAGGTGATTTAACGGAGAAAATGGCCCTTCAGCTGTAAAGGTCATGACCTGATGAATCAAGGCGTTAACTAATGCAATAAATTAATAGCGGAGAAGGATCTGAAAGGGAAGTTGAGGGTGTCTTGATACGATTTTAAAGAAAATGCACAATTCTAAGTAATAAAAATCTAGCATTAAAGACCACCAACGACGTTGTCCATTACCATTATAAGCTATTGTAACAACACAAATCAACACAGATTTATTGATGACACGTGAGTATTGTGAGATGCATAATTAATATTTGATTTAGAGAGATAATAGATCATTTACAAAGTGAACAAGTAGGTATCGGGTGTGCGTTGCATAGTTAGTGGTTTGGTGCACGCGTTAATTAAAAAAACGAATTAACGTGCCCAGTTTTTCTATAGAGAAATATTGTGGATTTAAAAGTCTTTATTTCATTTCAGTATAACCCTTCGATCTGTGTTAAAAAATAGCAAATTCTTCATACGTTAACAATTGGATACCGACAACTCTGTAGACTTTTGGCTGATTATACCATGACTCTCCCATATGCGAACGTCGCAAAACTAACGGATGTTTTCCTTTTCCCGAACATTGACTAAACTGCTCTGTATATGTAAATCGTCTTCTAGACCTTCTCCCCCGAAATCAATAGAATTCATTGGCCAGTGTTTCATTGATTTGCAAC